GATCTGAATTCCCAGGTGTATAGTAGAGCTGACAAGGGACAAGGTTGTACTCACTTCTTGGTCATAGCCAGCTACCCAGAGGGACCAAGTAGTTAAATCTGTGGACTCAGGACCATAGCCACAGGGGCCATCAAGCTCAATTGACACACTACATAAAACACTGTTCCACCTCCTACTTTGGCGAGTAGTGACTGGGATCTTAAAAGCTTCCAAGCAGCCACCTAGATGCAGCAATGGGCCTCTCCTTGTCCAGAGCAAATAAGAATGAAGAAAACCAAAGATTCATGGAAACAATTAGTCCTAAAGACTGGTACACCATGCAATCCGCAGCCTATACAACTATGAGACCAGAACTAGATGGTGCCCAACTACCACTATCAACCACGCGGAGGGGGATCTATGTAGGAGATCCTGGATAGAGAGGGAGAACAATGTGGAACAAAACTCAAATTCATTTGAAAAAAAAAGGGGGGGACCAGGTTTGCTTGTCTGCTGGAGCCTGGTGGAACCACTGAGACTATGGCCCCTAGCTGCCCTTCAGTTCTGGAATTGAACCCACACCTGTGGCTTCCAGCCAAACAAAGGACAGGCATATGAGTTGAACATTTACCTGAGATAAATACACTCTTTAGAGAGAACAATCCTGGGAGAAAGAAGGACTGTTTATGCCCAGGGAGACAGCCCAGGGGGCAGGACTTCATGGAGGGATGGACACAGGGAAGAGGTAACTATTGGGAGGAAGTGGGAAGGGAACTGTTGCATTGTGGGAAATTGTAGTCAATGTCATGAGACAAAGTGTATGTGAAATGTTGTATGGAAAGTGAATTTGCTTTGTAAACTTTCACCCAAATCACAATATGAAGAAAAAGGAGTCCAACCAGTACCACTTGCCATTGAGTTGAATCCAACTCCTGGAGACCCCGTGGGTGTCAGATTAGAACTGTGGTCCGTGGAATTTCCACTGGCCATTTTCCCACCAGCCCCTTCTTCTGAGGCCTCTGGGTGGGCTTGAGCCTCCACCCTCTGATTAGCAGCCAAGCACATTGACCGTTTGCACCACTCAGGGATTCCTAACAAGAAGGTGGGGGGAGGGATAGACGGACCCAGTGTCCCAAAATTTGATAACTACTGGAACCAGAAATGGGTATGTGAGGGCTCTTTGCATGAAATCTTCAATTTTAGAGTATGTTTTAAATTTGTATAATAAAATTTAAAGAAAATAAACAGTGCAATTCTAGGACATTGGTACGTCTGGAAATGAAATCTAGGTTATTTGCAGGAGCTCTGGTGGCACAGTGGTTAAGGCATTCAGCAGCTAACCAGAAGGTCAGTGGTTCAAACCCACCAGCCGCTCTGCAGGAGTAAGATGAGGCAGTCTGCTTCCTGAAAGATTTACGGGCTCAGAAACCCTGCTGGGCAGTTCTGCTCCATCCTGTAGGGTTGCTATGAGTCGGAATGGACTGGATGGCAGTGGAAAAAAAAAGAAAAGAAAAGAAATCCACCAAGAGAAACAAACAAAAATGCAGCTCCATTTGGGTTCCAGGGGGAAGAATGAAATCTCCTCTGAGGCCTGCCTTCCTTTAGGGCTGGAATTTTAAATTTACCTGTGTTGTCAAGGAAACATGATGGGGACAAACTGACGTGAAATCGTCCGACATTTGTTACATATTTGGTTCCGGTGGGTGTCATGGCAAGTTCTCTCTAGAGCCATGTGCTCTCAGCCAAGATCTTGCGGGATTTCCACAAATAATGCCCTGCTGAACGTGGCCCCCAGCCCAGAATTACAAACCACACAGCAGTTAAACCACCATGAGCAAGAGTCAGCAGACAGAGCAGAATTGGTAGACGTTCAGGGAAACTTCAGAAAATGGAATGATGAGCTTGCAAATACAAAACAAGTGTTTAAAGAGAGCAAAGTTGAGATGAAAACATGAGAAATAAACTGCTGTCCAGAAAGAGTAGTCCCTGGGGCTCACTTTTCACCCAGATGATAGGCCTAGAAGGTCAACAGTAACACCAGGGAGGTACACACGGCTCAGAATTGTCAAACCCACCAGCCACTTTTCGGAAGAAAGGTTGGGCAATCTACTTCTGTAGTGATACTGCCTTGGAAATCCAAGGAGGGGTCGCTGTCAGTCAGGTCCGACTCGAGGGCACATAAGAGCAACAACAACAATGAGATCCAAAGGGCAGCACTGTCCATGTAGAGAGCTCAGAAGGCAGGAAGGGGCAGGAAAGAAGGACGAAGGGAAATGGGGACCACATGGAGGAAGTGGGAAGAGCTCTCTTTGTGGGGATTGTAGTCGGTGTCAGGAAATAAGATGTTTATGAATTGTTGAATGGGAAACCAGTTTGCTTTGTAAACTTTCCCCAAAATCATAATAAAAAGTTAACAACAAAAAAGAATAGTCAACATGATGACCCTTGAAAACAGTATACTAAGTGGAAGACACGTGGTGCCACAGGCCACATTGTGTACAATTCCACTTACAAGACATGTCCAAAAGACAGCAGACCAGTCGTTGCCTAGGACTGGGAGAGGGAAGGGAGAAGATGGGTAGATTCAGACGTGAGAGTTGAAGGATGTGGGGCTCCTTTTTGTGGTGATGAAATGTTCTAAAATTGCTCATGGTGATATTGGCACAACTCGTATTTCAACTAAAAACTGTTGAAGTATCCACTGTAAAATGGTGAAGCTTATGTTTTTTTGTTTTTTGGTTTTTTTTTTTATTGTGATTTGGGTGAAGGTTTACAGAGAAAATTCACTTTCCATACAGCGGTTCACATATACTTTGTCTCATGACATTGAGCACAGTTTACCACAATGCAACAGCTCCTCTTCTACTTCCTCCCCATAGTTACCTCTTCCCTGTGTCCATCTCTCCATGAACGCCTGCCCCCTGAGCTGTCTCCCTGTGCATAAGCAGCCCTTCTTTCTCCCATGATTGTTCTCTCCAAGGAGTGTAGCTACTTGAGGCAAATGTTCAACTCATATGCCTGTCTTTTGTTTGGCTGGAAACCACAGGTGTGGGTTCAATTCCAGATCTGAAGGGCAGTTAGGGGCCATAGTCTGAGTGGTTCCACCAGGCTCCATCGGACCAGAAAACCTGTGAAGCTTATGTTTTGTGAACTATATCTCTACTAAAATTTAAAAAGATTAGATCTTAAAACAAACTTCTAGAAATGAATAATATAGTTTTATAAATTTAGATTCAGTTGCTGCTGAAGTAGCTTATTAAATACAGCTAAAGAAAAATTAGCAATGTGGAAGAGAGAGCTGGAGAAATTACTCAGCAAGCACAAACATGGGAAGTAGCATGGAAGATGAACTGACAAGGATAAAAATACATCTCACTGGTCTTCCAGAAGAAAAAGGGAGAGAGGCAACATTGGGAAAGAAAGTGGCTGAAATTTTAACAATGGATGAAAGAAGAGCCTGACTCATCGAATCCAGCAATTACAGTGAATCTCAAGCAGAACGTATGCATTTTTTTTAATCTACAAAAAGATGCATCCTAATAAAACTTCAGAACATCAAAGACAAGAAGAATTTAAAAGTAGCTCAAGAGAAAAGTTAACTTAGAAATGAATGACAGTTATGCTGAGAATAGACTTCTCAACAGCAAAGATACCAAAAGGTAATTGAATACTATTTTCAAAGCACTGAGAGAAAATGTCACCTTCCAATTTTATACCGAGCTAAGGTATCATTGAGGAGCTCTGGTAGCATAATGCCTAAGGCACTTGACTGCTAACCAGAAAGCTGGTGGTTCAAATCCACCAGCCACTCTTCGGAAGGAAGGTTGGGCAATCCTACTTCCGTAGTAATACTGCCTCGGAAACCCAAGGAGGGGTCGCTATGAGTCGGGGCCGACTCGACGGCATGTAACAACAACAACAAGGTATCATTGAAAACCCAGGGCAAAATCTAGACAGAACTTCCCCTAAGGAATGACTAAAGGATGTACATAAGGCAAAAGGGAAGCAAAGAAGAGCAAGAAAGAATTGTTGGCAAAGAAACAGGTCGACACGTGAGTAAACCTAAAGTGTTGGCTCAAGAACAACAATAATGCCTCATGTAGGAAATAAAAACCAAGCTGAAACTAGATATTGGACAACTGTATATTATAGAAAGGAGTTCTGGGGGCACAGTGGTTAAAGTACTGGGCTGCTAACCAAAAGGTTGGCAGTTTGAACCCACCAGGTGCTCCATGGAAGAAAGATGAAGTAGTCTGCTTCCATAAAGACAGACAGCCTTTGGAGACCCTCTGGGGCAGTTCTACTCTGTCCTCTAGGAGTGCTGTGTGTCAGAATCAACCCCACAGCAGTGGGTGTGGTTTGGGCTTTGCTTCCATTAAGATTTAGGGCCTTGGAAACCCTCTGGGGCAGTTCCACTCTGCCCTCTAGGGGTACTTTGGGTCAGATTGACTCCATGGCATGTTTTTTTGTTTTTGTTTTTGTTTTCAGAAACAAAAAAAAAACTGTTTTCAGTGCATAGACAGGACTGTATTGTTCTGAGGTACTGGCTTCTCCAGGCCCCTCCCGGCTGAGTCGTTCTGTCCAGGTCTGAGTTTGAGCCCTTTTTATAGCAGTCGACCCAAGGAGCTGGTCGTGACAGATCTGCAGGAAGGGTTCTGCACTTGAGGTTTATACTGGTTCCTTTCTGTTAGATGAAGGAAGGTGGTCCCAGTTCTGAGCATTCCCTTGTTGGGGGGACCACCTTTGTTCTGACCAATATCGGAAGAGCCCTCTTCTGTCTGTCAGCAGGGACCATCTGTGGCCTCCAGGCAGAGGTCTCCTCCCTGCCAGGTTGTCACGTGATAAGGGCGCAGTGCTGGCTATGAGGCCAAGGGTTCATGCAGGCCCTGCTGCTCCAGCAGCAGCACGCTGGCCAGAGCATGCTTCCTGGCTCCCACCGCTTCCCCAGGACACACCCTGCTGCTGCCCAGTGGACAGAGCTGGCCTGAGAAAGCCCCTCCCCTGCCCTTGTCTCCCTGCAGGTGATTGTCCAGCGGTGCTTGGCAGCCAAGAGCATCTCTCACGTGGAGGCTGGCTGCATCCTGTGTGGGTACCTGAAGCTGCTGTCCATGTTCACTCTGGTGATGCCAGGCATGATCAGCCGTGTCCTATTCCCAGGTGAGTGCTCCGTGCCGTGCCAGTGCCTATGCACCTGCTTAGCCCCTCTGGGAGGGATTGCGGAGCAGGAAGGGATCCCTGCACCATTTCCTTGTGGGCTCAGGGATGAGATGAGGGGCACAGCTCTGCAGAGCTCTGGCAGGCCATGGACCTGGACAGGCACAATCAAGTTCCAAAAGCTGATTCCGGCCACCCAGAGCCGACCAAGGCACCTTTGCATCAGTCAGCCTAGGACACTGGCATGAAGATACTGTCCCTAGGAAGGCCAAGTGGCCCCCACAGTAGCACATGCATTGTCATGCTAGGTATGCTGTGGGACAGCCCTGCACCAGGCATCCACTTACAGCCCAAAGGTGGCCTTGCCCAGCCTCACTGAGCAGAGGACACTTATGAAATGGACGTGACACCCGGTCTGGGGAGAAAGTGCGTGGGGCAGCATCTTCTCACCTCCAACTTCCCAAGGAGGAGGATCAAAATCAACAGTAGCAGCCCAAGGTTGATTCTTATGACGTGGAAGTCAGACCTGCCTCCACCCTCCAACCTTCTTATCAATTCTGACACCAACCATCCCTCCCATGGCACTCACTACTTCTCTGCTGAGTTCAATAATTTGATGCAGTGGCCACACAGAGCTCACAGACAATACTTACGATGATGGGGTCTATCAGGGAAGCAACAGGCTACAATTCAAGTTCAGGAACAACTTAGGATACAATTGTTCAACCAGAACAGTTTCTTCTCAGCCATGCTGAGCCATCCTTCCCTCTACCCTCAGACTCTGCCCTGGTTGGGCCAGTGTTACAAAGCTCTTTTAGCTTTGCAAGTAGGTGCTCAAAGAGGCACCCTACTCTGCCAGCAAGCCTCCTGCCCAAAGGCACTCAGCTTTCTCACTCTGTGGTCCAGAAAGCCCACCACGCTGTCTCGTGATGGTCTCTTGATTCTGTTCCTTCAGCTGCTGCCCTCTCTCTGCCGTTTCGGCACAGGGATCTTGGGTCCAAGGACACGTTCCACCCCTGGCTCTTCTTTCTTGGTGATAATGAGATCCTCTTGCCACCTCTGGAAGGGCTCATTTTAAGCCTAGCGAGGTGGCAAAACTGATCAGTCCTCACGTTGGAGTATTTGCATGGTCCCACCCCCACAAGGGTGCCATGTATTTTACGTTATTAAGAAGAGATCCATTCCCCTTGGTGGGCCACACACACCTCACATTTGCATTGTCCCACCTAGTCATCTGGTGGGAGTCACAAAGACCATGGCTGGAAGAGCCATACCAAGTAACTCCCTGAACCACTGGACCTCACTCTGAGGTCCATATTCTTTCCAGGAAATTCTATTCAAACCCCCCTGTTCCAGTGCATAAGCCATAATGCCATGGAGGCATCTCAGTGCATTAACCGGTCCAGGCTCTCAGGGTAGTGAGTGTGGGTCTCACCATGGGGGCTGAGTGGGTCCCTTTCTTGGGGGTCTGTCCTGACAAGGCCAAGCGAAATGGAAAACGTGTTTTGTTGCTAAGCACCGCCTGCAGTAGACGTCTCTAATCCAATGCCTCCTGTAGGCTGCCCCTGAGACACACTGCCTTTTGATGCTCCCTTTCTGGCCTCTGCACAGAGCCTTGCTCGGTTCCAGCACAGCTGTCTTCAGTGTTCTCTCGCCAAGTGGTGTTTCCAGGGCTGCCAGGTGGGGTGGCCTCGTGTGTTAGAAACATGGCTTCATGCACCCCAAGACCTCTGAGTGCCTCCCCTGCCACAGAGGGGGAAAGTCAGCCTCTCACATCTGAGTTCTAGGAGGGAGCAGAGTGTGGGATGGCTTCTCCCTCCAGTGGGATGAAAGCTGGAACCAAACTCCAAGCTCCTTACCCTGGGGTGGTCTAGACGCGAATGGGCTACTCTGATGGGAGCCTATGGGGGAATGACCTGGGAAGCACTTCTTCCCAGTCTTCAGAGATGGCCAGACCCACACAGGGACTTGCAGCCCTCCATGTGCCAGGGGTCTGAGCCTGAAAGTCACTGATCACTCAGCTCTGGCGCCTGCCCATACCCCAGGCACAGGATGCTTTTCAGTAACCCAGATGCCTCCACCTCAGGATTCACAGTCCCCCAGCCCAGAGCCAGACCAGACATGGCCAAGGTGTGAGCCTTGAAACTTTGTCTGTCTATAACCCACTGCCGTGGAGTCAATTCCAATTCACAGCACCCCTAGAGGACAGAACGGAACTGCCTCAGAGGGTCTCCAAGGCTGTCAGTCTTCATGGAAGCAAAGCCCCAACCACCCACTGTCCTGTAGTAAATTCTGACCCACAGCGCCCCTAGAGGACAGAGTGGAACTTCCTAGAGGGTCTCCAAGGCTGTCAATCTTCACAGAAGCAAAGCCCAAACCACACCCACTGCTCTGGAGTTGATTTCACTCACAGCACCCCTAAAGGACAGAGTGGAACTGCCCCCACAGGGTCTCCAAGGCTGTCAGTCTTCATGGAAGCAAAGCCCCAACCACACCCACTGCCCTGGAGTCTATTCTGACCCACAGCGCCCCTAGAGGACAGAGTGGAACTGCACCAGAGGGTCTCCAAGGCTGTCAGTCTTCATGGAAGCAAAGCTCAAACCAGACCCACTGCTGACTCACAGCACCCCTAGAGGACAGAGTCAATTGCCCTACAGGGTTTCCAAGTCTGTCAATCTTTACAGAAGCCTACTGCCTCGTCTTTCTCCTATGGAGCGGCTATTGGGTTTGAACCCCTGGCCTTTTGGTTAGCAACTCAGTGTACCACCAGAGCTTCATTGTTTGCTTGTAGGGTGGGGATAGGATAGACCTCTTGGTGGCCAGTGTGCCTCTCCTGGCCTTCTGAGCTGGTGTCACCTTCAGGCCCTGTGGTGACCTCTGTCCCACCAGCTGGACAGCCCCAGTGGGGAGAATGTTTCCTGACCTGGTCATTCCAGAAAAGACCCCAGATGAATCTCAGTGAACACTCTTGAGTCCTGCAGACCAGTTCTTGTGACCAAGGGGAGAGAAGGTGCAGAACGGCCAGGCTGGATCCTGGACCCACCCACACCACAGCAAGGAGCCTGAGGTCTGCTTACAGACCAGGGGGATGAAGAGTGGGCATGTGGACACAGGTGGACACTGTTCTGCCCTTGGAGTCTACACTCTTTATTTGGATGGTTGACAATCACATCTCAAGCTAGGTAGCTGTCCCCAGTAAAACAGCATGTTCTGCCATAAACTCAGGCAGTATCCTGCTTCTTTCTGTCCTCTGTGGAGTGACCTAAGGTCCATGAGCCAAAAGCTTGGTGGTTCAAACCCACCCATAGGTACTGTCTTCAGCTAGGTTCTCTAAAGAAGCAAAACCAGCAAAGTTTATATATAAATATAAAACCAAACAAACTCACTGCCATCGAGTCACTTCCGACTCATAGCAGCCCCTCCTTGGGTTTCCAAGGTGGCATCTCTATGGAAGTAGATTGCCCAGTCTTCCTTCTGAGGAGTGACTGGTGGGTATGAATTATAAAGTCAGAGTTGTATCCTTTCATCATACTTATTCAATCTGTACACTGAGCAAATAATCCAAGAAGCTGGACTATATGAAGAAGAACGTGGCATAAGGATTGGAGGAAGAATCATTAACAGCCTGTGATATGCTGATGACATGACTTTGCTTGCTGAAAGTGAGGACGACTTGAAGCACTTACTGATGAACATTGAGGAATACAGTCTGCAGTATGGCTTACACCTCAATATAAAGAAAGCAGAAATCCTCACAACTGGACCAATAAGCATGATAAATGGAGAAAAGATTGAACTTGTCAAAGACTTCATATTACTTGGTTCCACAATCAACACCCATGGAAGCAGAAGTTAAGACATCAGACAATATATTGCACTGGGCAAATCTTCTGCAAAAGACCTCTTTCAAGTGTTGAAGAGCACAGATGTCTCCTTGAGGACTAAGGTACGCCTAACCCAAGTCATGGTATTTTCAGTCACCTCATATGTGTATGAGAACTCAACAGTGAATTAGGAAGAATGAAGAAGAGTCGATGCTTTTGAGTTGTGGTGCTGGCGAAGAATACTGAAAGTACTATGGACTGATGAAAGAACTAACAAATCTGTTCTGGAAGAAGTGCAGCCAGAATATTCCTTGGAAGTGAGGATGGCCAGATTTCGTCTCACCTACTTTGGTCATGTTGTAAGAAGGCGACCATTCCCTGGAGAAGGATGTCATGCTTGATAAAGTGGAGGGTCTATGAAAGAGGAGAAGGCCCTTAACAAAATGGATTGGCACAGTGGCTGGAACAATGGGCTCTAGTATAGCAAGGATCTTGGAACTGGCACAGGACCAGGCAGTGTTTCATTCTCTGTGCATATGGTTGCTATGAGTCAGAGCCAACTCGACGACACCTAACAACAACAGCGTATGTATGTGTGTATGGAAAGAGGGAGAGAGAGAAATTTATCTCAAGGAAATGGCTTACATGGTTGTTGAGGCTGGCAAGTTCCGAGTCCACATCAGGCTGGAGGCTTCTCCTAACTCACGTGACTGCAGGAGCTGATGTACCCAAGATCAGCAGGTAAGATGGCAGGATGCTGGCTGACAGGCTGTGAGGGCAGCAATGCCCAAATCAGCAGACATTGTGGCAGGCTGCTGGTTCAAGTCTGAAGAAGTGGAGGTTGGATCATGATGAGCCAAATGCAGGATCAAGATGGAACAAAAATCCAGAGAGCTTTGCCAGGACATCTGCATATATTGGAAGCAGGCCACACCCACAAGGAAACTCCCTGTCCACTGATTGGCTGCTCCTAGCAGATCTCATCATGGAGGTGATTACATTGTATCAGATCTCATCATGGGGGATGACCACATCGTAACTGCCAGACCACTGAGACTCATGGACCAGCCACGTTGACACTCAGTGTTCACCATCGCAGGTGCCTTGGAAGACAGGCCTGGTGACCTGCTTCAGAAAGCTCACTGCCTTGAAAACCCTGTGGAGCACAGCTCTAGTCTGCACACGTGGGGCTGCTGTGAGTCAGGATCAACTCCCTAGCATCTGACAATTACAACTTCATGTCCCCAATTTAAGCTCTTGAGCGACATACTACATTCACTCTCTTTACTTCCCTTTATTCAAAGAGTCTTCACTAATATTCTGAAATGCCATCCTATCAGGGTTAAGGGAGTAAGTTTATAAATTGCTTACCATACTAGTATGACAAAGAGAAATTGTTTGCTTTGCTAACACCAGGAGCTCTAGTGGCTCAGTGGTTAGTTAAGCATTCACCTGGTAACCAAAAAGTCAGCAGTTTGAGCCCACCTACTGCTCCATGGGAGCTCTGGTAGCATAGTGGCTATGGCACTTGACTGCTAACCAGAAGGCTGGCGGTTCAAATCCACCAGCCACTCCTCGGAAGGAAGATGGGGCAATCTACTTCCGTAGTGATACTGCCTCGGAAACCCAAGGAGAGGTCGCTTTGAGTCGGGGCTGCCTAGATGGCAAACAACAACAACAACACTACTCCATGGGAAAAAGTGCTTCCAGTCGGCTTCCATAAAGACTGACAGCCTTGGAGACCCTCTGGGGCAGTTCCACTCTGTCCTCTAGGGGCGCTGTGAGTCGGAATTGACTCCAGGCAGTGGGTGTGGTTTGGGCTTTGCTTCCGTGAAGACTGACAGCCTTGGAGACCCTGTGGAGCAGTTCCACTCTGTCCTCTAGGGGCGCTGTGGGTCAGAATAGACTCCACGGCAGTGGTGTGGTTTGGGCTTTGCTTCCGTGAAGATTGACAGCCTGGGAGACCCTGTGGGGTAGTTCCACTCTGTCCTCTAGGGGCGCTGTGGGTCAGAATGGACTCCAGGCAGTGGGTGTGGTTTGGGCTTTACTACTGTGAAGACTGACAGCCTTGGAGACCCTCTAGGGTAGTTCCACTCTGTCGTCTAGGGGCGCTGTGAGTCAGAATTGACTTCACAGCACTGGGTTTGGTTTTGTGTGTGTGTGTGTATGTCTGTGTGTTTTTGTTAACACTGGGCTGGGATGGCTGAAAGACTTATGAGGACACGTGGCTTGCTGCAGATCAAACTGAAAACTGCTGGAGGCTCTGATTCCTGTGATTTCTGGCCCTTCTCCAAGCTTCTGCAGAGGACACCGGATCTGGTCGGAGCCATAGACCAATCAGATGTTAGCGGCTACTGTCGATCAGATCCTGACTCAGGGTGACTGCCCCTGTGCACAGCCCAACTGTGTTCCATAGGGTTTTCAAGGCTGTGACTTTTTGAAAGACAATCACCAGGCCTGTCTTCCTAGGTGTCCCTGAGTGGGTTTGAACTGCCAGGCTTTCAGCTAGTGGTCGAGTGTTTACCCATGTGTGCCACCCAGGGACCATCCCCTTGCTGGTCTGAGTTGGCCTCCTTTCCGCTGAGCTCAGAGCTGAGCTCTCTGAGGCCAGGACGCGGGCATGACTGCCATTTCTCTTTGCAGACAGAGTGGCCTGTGTTGTGCCTTCTGAATGTCTGAAGCACTGTGGCACCCGTAGTGGCTGCAGTGCCATTGCCTACCCAGTCCTGGTGGTGGAGCTGATACCCAACGGTAAGAAATGGACTGGCCCCTCCAGGGGGAGAGAGCCCCCGATCTGGGTCCCCATTGGAGCCTGGGCCATTGGGCTGTAAGTGGACTAAGGTTCGGGGTCAGGGGCTGGGACAGGCCTGTGGTTCTGGGTGGAGATGTAGACTGTGGGGTGGGATGGAGCGGGAGCCATGCCTGCCCTCATGGGAGGAGCTGGGCCTTTTGGGTCTGCACACCCCCACCTGCGCCTTTCTGTGCTGGTTCACTCACTCTGCAATGTCTTCTGGGCTCCCCATGGGGGTAGGCAACCTTCCCAACCAGGAGACAACACCATGGCCTCCACCCACTAAGAGCTTCCTAGCCAGCAAGGTAGGTGGGTAGACCAGCAGTTCCCCAACAGGGAGCTGGCATTCATTGCGAGATGACAATGAGCCTGTGTGTTGATCTCACTCTGCTGGCACAGTGATTAGAGCACTCTGCTGCTAACCAAAAGGTCAGCTGTTGAAATCTACAAGCTACTCCCTGGGAGAAAGATGAGGCAGTTGGCTTCTGTGAGGATTGACGGCCTTGGAGACCCTCTGGTGCAGTTCCACTCTGTCCTCTAGGGGCACTGTGAGTCAGAATTGACTCCACAGCAGTGGGTGTGGTTACCCTTAAATCCTATTGAAATGACAGGACAAGGATTAAAACAGAAAACTCTGTAGTACCCCTGGAGAACATGGGAGAGCACCATCAATAGGCTGGATTACTTGAGACCATTCCATCCAATGCAATCTTGATGGAGTCCCTCTGAGTGACATCCTCACTGCCCACCAGAACCCCTGGCTGAACCTCAGGAAAAGGCTGCAGGAGGGTGAGGCAGGATATCGAAGGATCCCAGGCTTACCTGCCCACATGGCCACTGAACCCAGTGGGGACATGGCTGCAGCCGGCTCTAGTCTGGGGTGCTTGGTACCCTTGGCTTTCAGCCTCTTGTGGAATGGAGACCTCTCAGAGGAGCAGTTGATGTCACCATGCTGGGGTAGCATCCCAGGTGGTAGCAGCAGATCGTGGGTCACCTCTCCCGGTGGCTGAGCGCCCACTCTGAACATTCTGCAGACCTGTCTGCTTGGTGCATCCCAATCTTGGCAGCAGCACTATATGATCAGTGCTGTTAGACCACGGAGGCACCAGGAGGTGCCCCAGGGTAGTTCATTATGGCCTGTCTGTGGTGTGGCTGAAAGTTGCCCATGGGGGTAAGTTCCTTTCAGGGCCCAGAGGGTGACTAAGGGCCATAATCTCAGGGTTTCACCAGTCTCTATCAGACTAGTAAGCCTAGTCTTTTTTTTCCTAATTTTTATTATGATTTGAGTGAAAGTTTGCAGAGCAATTTCATTTTCCACACAGCAGTTCACACACATTTTGTTTCATAACATTGACTGCAATTCCTCACCATGTAACAGCTCTTTTCCCGCTTCCTCCCTGTGGTTACCTCTTCCCTTCTTTCCTATGCATTCCTGCATCCCAAGCTGTCTCCCTGTGCAAACACTGCCTTTCTGTTCTCCCATGATAGATCATTCTAAGGAATGTATCTACCTGATATAAATGTTCACCCCAAATGCCTGTCTGTTGTTTGACTGGAAGCCACAAAAATGAGTTCAGTTCCAGACCTGAAGTCTCACCAGGTTCTATCAGACCAGTAAAGCTGGTCTTTTTTATGGTCTTCAGTTTTGTTCTACATTGTTCTCCCACTCTATCCAGAATGTCCTACTGTGATCCCTTTCCAAGTGGTTGACCATGGTAGCTGGGCACCATCTAGTTCTTCTGGTCTCAAGGCAGTGGAGGCTGAGGGCCATGTGATCCACTAGTCCCCTGGACTAATTGTTTCTGTGTCTTTGATTTCCTTCACTCTTAGGAGCAAATTCAGTGTGCCACAAAAGTCATGAGGAGGCCTCCATGCTCAGCTGGCGTGGCCAGAGAGTGGAGGCCCAGGGACTGTCCTTCTCTTGCAGGCTTACGTGGTTTGATGCTGTCAGCTTTGTGGGCCTCTCTCATGTCCTCCCTGACTTCCATTTTCAACAGTGCCAGCACCATCTTCACACTGGACATTTATACCTGGATGCGGCCCGTGGCCACTGAGAGGGAGATCATGATCACAGGAAGGTAAAGGACCCTCTGCCCGTGTGGGTTACTGCTGTCACACAGGTGTAGCCGCTCTGTGGGGGCAGTGGGGAAGGCATCTGCATCCTCCCCTCTGTCGTCTTATAAAAGCTTCAGTGTTTCCCCTCTGATATTCAGATATTGATTCTTATGTATGGCGTGAGGAGTAGGCATCAGATTTATTTTGTCCATGAATAGCCAAATCACTCATTTATTAACCCCTCACTTTCCCCACTGCACTGTAATCTTTGCCTAAGTCAGGTGACAGTGTACATGTGAACTTTTCCTCTGTATTCTTTGTTCTCATCTGCTGATTTATTGGTCTAGACTTGGGCAGTTTTAATTAGTATCACTTGATAAAAGATGATGATGTATTAATATAATGCTCCACTTTTGTATCTTCAGGAATTGCCTCAGCCATTCTTCACTCTGAATTCCTATATTAATCTTAGAACCAGTTTGTTATTAAAAAAAAAAATACTATGATTTGAACTCAGATTATGCAGAATATGGGGTGAGCAGACCTTACAGATCACCTTGTCAGTATTGAATCTTCCAATCCATTTCATCATTGGGTTGTTTGCCTTTTTGTTAATGATTTGTAGAAGTTCTTTACATATTCTGGATACATGTCCTTAGATAGATGTGTTGAGAATATTTTCACCCAGGCTGTGGCTTGACTTTTCATTTTCTTAATAGTATCTTCTGATGGAAATTTTAGAATTTTCCTGGAATCTGATTTATCAGTTTTTGTTTTATGTTTAGTGACTTTAGTGTATGTGTCTTAAGAAATAGATATTCCTAAGTTGTTTTGGGGAGCTCTGGTAGCATAGTGGCTAAGACATTTGCCTGCTAACCAGACGGCTGGCGGTTCAAACCCACCAGCCACTCCTCGGAAGGAAGGTTGGGCAATCCTACTTCTGTAGTGATACTGCCTCGGAAACCCAAGGAGGGGTCGCTATGAGTCGGGGCTGACTCGACGGCACATAACAACAACAACAACAACAAGTTGTTTTCATGCTTGGTAAGGTGGAGGGTCAGCGAAACAGGGGAAGGCTATCAATGAGATGGATTGACACAGTGGCTGCAATGATGAGCTCAGGTCGTGGGGTCATGAGTCAGAGCTGACTCGATGACACCTAACAATAACAACAAAGTTGTGTTCATGTAGTAGCTTTATAGTTTTAGCTTTTATAGTCTTAGGATCCATCTAGAAATAATTTTTGTCACAAGTATGGGGTAGACGTCAAGCCTTACTGTATTAAGTTACTCAGATTTCCTGCCCCTGTTTAATTATTTTAGCACTTTTAGCTAAAATCATGTGACCACAGAGCTGTGTATCTATTTCTGGACTGTATTTCATTCTGTTCATCTGTTTCTCGTCATGCTGCTACAAACATACTGTGATGACTGTAACTCCATGTGCATCTTGAGTGAGGCTGAGCGGCCTCCCAGCTTGGTTTCTCTTCCAGATTGTGTCGACCATTCTAGATAGCTCGCTTTTCCATACAATTTTTGGAATCCACTGGTTTTACTGGGATTGTGTGGAATTTATAACCCACATGGAGAGAATGAACATCTTAACAATACCAAGTCTTCTAATCCATAACCTTCATCCACTCCTTTTTACTTCAATCTTTTGTAATTTCTCTCGGTATTCCCAGTGTTTGGTATGGAGATTTTACACATCCTTTGTTGAGTATAATCCTAAATACTTCATGGGTTTTGATGCTGTTGTAAGTGGAATTGTTTTTAATGTCAATTTTCAAGAATTTGCTACTAGCTTAAAGTAATACAATAGATTTTATTTTCATTGACATTGTGTCCTGTGAACCTTGCTAAATTTGCTTAGTAGTTCTGTTGGTTGGGAGATGCCTTGAGATTTTCTGCATACACAGTCATACTTTTGTGAACAGTATCTCTCTAATTTTCTTTGTGAGCGCGTCTTCCTTTCCCATTTGTAAGTATTTTCTTTCTTTTTCTTGCTTTATTGCAGTGGCAGTGGACTTGAGCACTTGACTTCATGTTGAGTGGGACTCGTGAGAATGGATGCTTGCCTCATTCCCAGTTTTAGGGAGAAACGGTTTAATCTTTCACCATTAAGGAGGATATTAGCCATAGGCTCTTTGTAGATACCCTTTAGTTGGGTTAAGCAAAGTCCCCTCTATTCCTCGGAAGCTCTGCCTCTCTTTGGTTTTCTATATACTACAGACACCAGAGCTGTAGAACCAACAAAGACTTGCCTAAAATTCCAGACAGGGATTGCTACTGGGAAGGAGATAAATTTATAGAACTGGCACACTGATGGAGCTCAAGAGGCCTCAGACACGCTCAGGACAACTCCTCCTCTAAACAACTATTGGCTTGGCTTGTTTCCTCAAGACAACTGCTGAGTGCTAGCACATTGTGGGAGGCTAACAGGCTAAGCTAAAAGCTTCTGAAAAGCAGAGTAGAATTTCCTAGGGTGTTGAATTGTCCCAAATACTTTTTCCAAATTTATTGAGGTGATCATAATGTTTTCCCCTTTATTTTATTAATTTAATGAATTATAATTATAATTATTGATTTTTAAATGTTAGACCAGCCTTAAAATCAAACAAAACTCACTGCCATTGAGTTAGTTCCAACTCATAGCGACCCCCATTGGGTTTCTGAGGTAGTAAATCTTTATGGAAGTAAATTGCCCCATTTTCCTTCCACAGAGCAGCTGATGGATTTGAACTGCCAACCTTCTAGTTAGCAGTCAAATGCCTTAGGCACTGAGCCATGAGAGCTCCTTAGACCAACCTTACAAACCACTAATAAACCCCATTTGGTCATGTTATAGTATTCCCTTTTATATACTATTGAGTTTCATTTGCTACTATTTGGTAAGAATTTTTCCATCTGTGTTTATGGGGAATATCTTTCTAATTTTCTTCATCTTTGCCTTTGACAAGCTTTGGTTTCAGAGTTATGCTAACCTCATAAAATGATTTGGAAAAGGTTACCTTCAGACTTCTGATAAGATGGAGGAATAGGCAGACAAGCGACACAGACCCTCTTTAACAAAGAAAAGAAAAACCAGTTGACAGAGGTACAGAAGATAATCCTGGAACCATGAGCTTTGAAAGGAACTATACAGAAGTGGAATAGGCACCAAGTAGTATAAAAACCTGAATGAAAACAGGTCAGCAAGGACATACGAGAGGGTGACAACAGGAAAGGAGACAGGTGGTGAGTGTATAAGTGCTGTCAACTAGTGAATA